TTTACATAGTTAAAATCCTATTCATTCTCCTTAATGAATTACTATCTTCCCAGCTGGAAATAGTTCTGATAACATTAAAAATAGCACCTTATAGCCATTAAGTTGTATTTACAGTATTTTATGCACACAGAGATAGTGCAATAAAATTAATTTTCTTCCACATGCCTCCATTAACACTTTTTTTACGTGCTCCTTTAACATTCTTTACCAAAACAAATCATCTTTCCTTATCACAGTAGCAAGGTTACACTTGAAAATTACGTTGAAAATTGCTAAATGTTATAAACCTCATGAGACTCAACAACTCCCCAAACAGAAAATAACCAGAAACTGGGAAAGTGTTAGAAGGAAGTATGTGTGTGCCCTGCCTATGCTACTGGAGGCAGCATATCAGTCTAGACAGATCTTTTGTTGTAATAAAAGCATAGTCATACTTACATTTTTTAAGTCAGCAAATTAATTACCTTAAACTTTGTTCTTATTGTTAAAGCAGAATTAGTGTTATTCTGTAACACTTATGGCCTAATAACTTAAACTAAGGTTAATGAACAAACAGTAAGGTTCCTGGTAACGGATAACTATATCACTGAATTAAACACAAGTAAAAAGGTTATCATGCATGAGGTTCAGACTGCCACATCATTCTTAACACCATTCTTGAACTAGTTTATGTGCTGGGAAATATCCTCAATTGCAGAATTTTAGAAAACACCTGCTGGTAGCCTTCCAAGTTGAACTAGCTGTTAAGTCTCTGATAACAATATGTTTATAAAATTCACTGTGGTTTGAAACCTTATTGGGCCTGGACTACATGTAACACCCAGCATCTGCATGTACAAGGGTTTTAAATGCAACTGCTCTAGTACCCAGCTGGTTAGACACAACAGGACATCATGGAATTCATTACTTAAACTTTCCTTCATTTATGAACATCAGCTTCCAGGATGGACCCCCATCTTCTATCAACAAGACCTTTCTTAGGCTAAATGACCCATGGCATCTACACACCCAGAGTCTGCTGTCTCTCTCAGCTATCTAAATTTTGAGCACTAGAAAGAAAACCAAAACCAGAAGAAAACAACCTTGAAAAAAGATAAAAATGAGCTCTCAAAAACAAGCTAGAAGTCCTGACACCTCAAGGAATAGAACAATCTGCTTGGCAAAAATTCTTCAGAGAAGGCCAGATACTGAGCAAAACTAGTAGCAGTTCTTATTTGTACAGCTGAAAATTAGCATGGAAATTTGCTAACAACACACTGCTGCTCCCATGATAGTGTCACATCCAGCCAGCGACACTGTTCAGCCTACCTATACAACTGGAAGAAGTACTATGAGTTCTTTCCAATACCGTTTTTACAGACTAGAGCTTTCATCTTTCTTTTAATCTTTGAGGAGTTAAATATTTAATGGAAATACTCCATCCTCATATTTGTCAATCAAAAACTAAACAGGAAGACATTCTTTTTTTCCCTTCTTGCCCTCTGGAATGAAAACTAGGACAAGGAAGGAAGTTTCAATACTGCCTTAGTCGCACAAAGCTTCTCCTTTAGGTTCTCCTCCATCAATTGCTTCTCATTCCTTGGAGTTTTTCTAAATGGAAGTAGCAGCATGGTATTGAAATGATTTATCTCACTTTTATTGCTCAGTGGTAATGGGATTTAGATGGTGCATGAGGTTTTTTTGTGGCACACTGGGATCTGCATCAATACAATGCATTATATTATTAATACATACCAATCTGCTCAACTCCTTATCCAATTCTTTGAGAAAATATTTTACAGCTGCTTTAGTAGGCAATTTATATAGCCAAGTGATCATCTCAATTTACAGACTTCAGTCTAGCTCACACATAAAAGCTATCTTAAATTCCAAGTTCTCCTGAACACATACTACAGGATAAACAATTGCTTTGTTGTATAAATTCACAACACAGAAATCTCATTTTAACATTTTTCCTCTCATCCTGTTATAATACTCCCAAAATCTCAGTTTATTATGTAATTTTAATTTTATCTCTGTACAGTAACAGTCACAGTGCACTGTTATACTTCTGAATCATATATTGAGTGCTGACCTCCGATCTTCCCTCCCTTACCCACTTGGGTTCCAGTTAACAATTTATAAGCTGGAGATAGCATGAAGCTGAACTTCAAAATAATCTCACTAGTACCATTTATTTTCTTTAGTCACACTTTCAGTCTCTATAACTTCCTGAGGAAGTTAGTTTCATGACTTTATTACACTTTTAGCTTAGGAAAGGAAAAATACTTCCCTTAAAACCTGGTAGCCATGGGTGCCCTATTTCTTGCATTGCAAAAAACAGACAGTGATATAGGTGGTAGAGAAACTACTGCCATTTTATAGACTTCTATCATCCTGCTCTCCTCCTTTCCTGACCATTATTGCCTTCTCAAGCTAAAGAATACTTACATGAAAGCTAAAATATAACTGACTACCAAATTCACCCTAATACACTTTTCTGTGTCTTCTTGAAAAGCATCAGAGCAGTCAGGAAACTAAGTAATCAAAGCAACTCCTGAGTATTAGTGTTTAGGGCTCCCTGTTAAGAGATTTACTTTGAATGGTTTGGACACAACTGCAGAAAACAGAACTTATGAAAACCCACTGACCTAAAACACAGGTAAGTCTCAGAAAACAGTACTCAAGACATAGAGGCAAAGATATATTAAATTCTCTTGCAAAAATTCCAGAATTACAAGTACAAATATCAAACACTAATATAATTTCCTACCTCTTGAACTGTAAATTTTCAAAAAAAAATTAACATGGAAAAGACAATTTGAAAGTCAACAAAAGTTCAATGCATGGAACTAGCTATTTGATGCTTCTATCATCATGATCACCTAGTCTTTCTGTAAATGTGATTGTTTTCGTTAATTCCTTATAAGCAAGGGATAAAAGGATTCCCCTTAGCTACTGAATACTTCAGTGTTGACTCAAAATAACTTCTTCAATCTGGTTTATCCATCTTTGAACTGAAAGTCTAGTATGATGCTTTTCAAAGAGAGCAGGATGAGACATAGCTCAAGGTTAAAGTCAGAAGAGGCCTACAGCAAGCTGAAAAAGTCAGCAAGTTGCTTGACAGATCTCCTCTTTCACAAATTCTTTAATGTGCTTTCTTGGCTAATTATCAGTTTGCTTCCTGTATCAATGCCAGTCCATTTTGAAAAACATGACAAATACTCAGACACTGCAGTATAAAGAGTGCCTTCAGTAACAATTCTGATGGCTTTTTACAAAAAAAAAAAAAAGGTGTCAGTACAAAATTCAAGCTACACTTGCTACAATGTCGATACTCATGTTCTTTCCCATGCTCCTTTAGATCACCATTTGATGGAAAAGACACATGTACCAAATATAAATACACACTCTTCCCCACTCCAATGTCATAAGTGGAATTTGTTCACTAAGATTAAAAACTAGCAACCCAGCAGATAAAAAGCAACATTCTTAAACTCACACCAATTCGTCAGTCAAGCAAACTAGCCTTGTGCTAAAAGAGTAAAGAGACACACATGCAGACAACTAATTCTGCCATGGCAGTAGCATCACAAAAATACACATACCTGTCCACATACCCATAAATAGGTACAAATCAGATTAGAGTCAAAATAAAAATATTTCTTTACTCTTTCATTCTCACTACTGTTATCTATCACTTGGATAATTAATTGCCAAACTCTGACTCATTCTATAGGACAACCAGTCACTTCTAAGATACTATAACACACAGTGAACTTGAATATACTTATGTCAAAACAAAAGCATAATGATACACAAATTAATATTCTGCACACATACCAGATGCCTAGAAGTGAAACGACTAAGTCTTGGAAAGTATTAAATTCTCCAGTTTTAGAAAATTCATTCCACAACCTTAACTATGAACTTTGTTAAAAGCAAAGTTAAGAGAAGCAATGCTACATTTCAACCTCTAGAACTGGTTTTTTAGCCACACGAAAAAGAAGAAAAAAATCTTGTCAGTAACAGTTTGTTCACCTAAACCCTGAAGAGTAAAGTGACTTCCTGAGTCTGTATTACCCACATTCACAATTACAGGAAGCATACAGAACACACAGAATGGCTATAGGATGAATCCTATATGATTGCCATCTTTTATTCTCAGTTACAAGTCTTTTTTTCTGTAAGACATCAATCACATATGTCATCATTTACCTACATGTAACCTGTAGCCAAATTTTGCACCAAATTCCTCCTCAATTTATTTCAAGAATCTTAGATAACAGCACAATATCAATGTTCTATCTTTATCAAAGATATGAATGAATGGGTAGCTACATAGATGTCCAACCAAAATGGTTCAAAGTCAGCACTAGAATTTTATTGAAAAAAAAATTTTATTTTTCTGAATACATAACTGGAAAAATTCTTGCAGTTGCTCATCAATTTATGCATTATTACTGAATTAAACCAACAGTTCAGCCTGCTTCACTTATATGAGGTGTTTTTGAGGCTGCATCTATGCTTTCTTTGGCAGAAGCCTTTTGGTGAAGAAGGCACTGCTTACTAACTTCCAGTTGGGCACCTATAACAACTCTGAAAGATAACTAACAAAACCAGTATGCATGGCAATATCACACCCATGCATACCTCCAGTAAATGAAGCAAAAGATATGCCACTTAGGATTAAAAAGCAGTCATATGATCCACAAGACAATAGTGTCCGCATGAGGCAAACCTTCATTTTATATCAATAGCATTCTTACTTTTGTTAGGTAGCATACATTTTAAGGCCTAAGTGTGGCTTTAGGTAGGCTGGATGGAAATGAGGACAGTGGAAAAATCACCTATCAAATGTATAAATATAATTTCACTAAAGTGGCAGACAGAACTATACACAGTTTTGGTGACATCTTTTTGTTTTAACAAGAACACATATGTCAACTGTGACAATGCTGCTTTTCTTATCTCTTTCCTAGCGTACGATTTTATTCAGCACATAAAATAAGTTACCTTACCTTTTTCTTCATCTATTCGAAAAACTCCTAAACCAGATCCATCTCTGATGGAATATCTTATCTCCCCATCTCGTCCTGCATCTTCATCATAAGCAGATACAGTCATTACTGAGGAGCCAATAGGGGCATCTTCTTTTATAAAGCCTTTCTCTGCAAATATGGAGAACCGTGGAGGGTGCAAGTTTTCATTCACATCAACTATCTCAACCTCAACGTAACAGGTAGAGGATAGTGAAATGGGTTTTCCTTTGTCCTTGGCCCGCACAGTCAAATTATACAGTTGTGTCTTTTCATAATCCAGTCTTTGCACAATACGTATTGCTCCACTTAGTTTGTCAACATCAAAGGTGCCATCTCCACTGTCCAAAAGACTGTATCGTACTTGACTTGACTGGCCTAAATCAGGATCGTAGGCTTCTAGCCACGTAATAATAGTTCCCTCAGGAAGATCTTCTCGAATTTTAACATGATAATTTGAAGGAATAAACTTAGGAGGATTGTCATTAACATCTTCTACAGACACTTTCAAAATAACTGTTGAAAATAATTGAGGTTCTTCAGTAGGTTGGTCCCTGGCCTCTACTTTCAAGAAATAGACGTGCTGTTCCTCGCGATCCAGAACGCCTACAACTTTCACAACTCCTGTCACAGCATTAATAGTAAACTTGTCTGTATCTGTAAGAAGAGAATATTTCACTTCTCCATTAGCCCCCAAATCTTTATCAGTAGCTTCGATTTGAATTATTTCACTGTTTAGCTCTTTGTTTTCACTTACTTCAACAAAATAACTGTCTTGAAGGAACTCCGGTGGGTTGTCATTAGCATCCAAAATTTTTATATTTAAAAGGGCCCAGGCAGACTTCTGTGGTATTCCAAGATCATAGACAGTAATATTGAGAGTATATTGATTTTTTACTTCTCGATCAAGGGGAGATAAAATTTTCAGCACTCCTCTTTCCATATCAACAATGAAACTACTGTCTTCATTACCTCCAGAAATAACGTACACTAGCTTTCCATTGAAGCCAGTATCAACATCAGTAGCATTCATAAGTATTAAGCTGGAGCCCACAGGTTGGTCTTCTCTTATCTCAATGCTACTAGGGAGAGTACTTCTAAACTGAGGTGCATGCAGATTGACAGAGTGAGTATCAAAGAAAACATCCTCAACTTCTCCACGACTGTGCAATTTATTTGCTTGTAAGAGCTTCTCTGCAAGCATTTTGGCAACACCAGTTTCTTCGCATTGCAAGTTGACTGGTTTGTGGCTATTAGCTACAGTTATGTTGATATACAATGGTTTTGCAAAGTTCTCTCCATCTGTAGCTGTAATTTTCAAACTGTAAAAAGACATTTTAGCACCTATGCCATCTATTAGTGACTGTTTGAGTGAAAGTACTCCAGAATTTGGATTTAGGCTAAATATATCCAGTTCATTTCCAGATTCAATTTGGTATCTCACTAACTGGAGCTCATCAGCATCAATAGCAGATACAGTTGTTATTTGTTCTCCAACACCAAGATCCCTGGGGATTACTCCCTCACAATTTATTTTCTCAAAGAGAGGTATATTGTCATTCAAGTTATTTAAAATAATAGTAACAGGAACTTCAACTTCTCGACGATATGGTATACCCCAGTCGGAAGCTCGAATCCTTAAACTGTAAACCCTTGGCATCAACTCATAATCCAAGTCTTCTGAAGTACTAATAATCCCGCTGAAATGGTTAATCACAAATGGCAAAGGATTTAGGTTTGCAATGCTATAGGTCACATAACCATTTTCCCCCTCATCAGGGTCTTTTGCACTTACTCTCATGATGCTTGTACCTATTGGCACATTTTCATCAAAGGAGGCTTTATAGGATGTTTGAGTAAATTCGGGAGGATTGCTATTCATGCCTAGTACCTTAATCAACACTTTTGCAGAAGCTCTTCTGTCACTTGTCACAACTTCAAGTTCAAAATGGGATGCATACTGTGCTTTTATGGGTTCTAACGTGGTAATGAGACCAGTGTGAGTGTTTAAATTGAATTTTACTTTTCCCAGTGTGTTTTTAAACACATATCTTAAGTGTGGGTAACTAGGCACAGCTTTCACCATTATCACAGGTGTGTTTGGAGGGGCAAATTCACTTATTTCAGCTCTATATATCTCTTTTTCAAATCTGACAGGACCAGACTTAAATTGTGGTGATGTCACATGAACAACTTTTACAGAAGAAAACTGTGGGGGATTCCCTTTATCTTTAGCTTGAAGGGTAAGGTTATATCCAAAAGGGTGACTCTCCCAGTCAATGTGACCAATGGCTTTTATTCTGTATTCTTTACCTCCTGGAACAGACCTCACTGTTTTGAACTGTTGGAGTGCATCTCCTGCAACAATATTTAATGATGCTATTTCCCCATTTGAACCCTGATCATTGTCCTCTACGGTTACAATTGCATACGTTGGATCTTTGTCCGATTCTGATGGAGTCAGTGTAACAGCTGTAATAACAGGGGCATATTCGTTTGCTTGCTCCACATGAACAGTTAGTTTTGCCATACTGCTTATGCCACTGCTACCATACAGCTTCAGCCCACGGTCCACTGCAAGAATTTCCATCTCATAACGCTTAGTGTCCGAGTAGTCAAGTCTACCAGTTAGAACTACCACTCCACTAGTTGGATGTATAGCAAACACATCTGTTCTTTCTTTAAAGCTATAGTAGAACTCTCCATTTGTTCCTATATCTGCATCTGTTGCACTGACTCTTGCGATGCTGGTCCTTATTGCTGTGTTTTCAGGCAATGAAACACTGTAAGAGGTTGGAGAAAACAAAGGCCGCAAGTCATTTGTATCCAGTACCTGTATCCTGACCTTCGTCCGCGTTTCAGCATTTGTATTTTTTTCAACTGCTTTAACAGTCAGCATATAATGGTCTCTCACCTCTCTGTTAAGGATAGCTGTGTTTCCTCCCTTGGTCCGTATTCTCAAAAAACAAAAGTTTCCAAGAACATATTCTTCAGCTTTGAACAAGTTCTCATTGTCACCAGAAATAATTTTGTATCTTAGGTCCCATAATGGATTTGTAATGTAAATGCCCATTTTTACTGGATGCCCAACATAAGTCTTGGCTGCAGAATTCTCATACACAGTGGCATTATACTCTACTTGGGTAAATTGCATTGGTGAAGCATGATGCAGCCTTTGATTTCCTTCACAGTTTTCAAAATGCTGCACCAGCAGCATCAGCAGCAACAGCATAGTCAAGTATCTTCCCATGGCAGCAATTAAAAAGAAACCCTGAAACGAGAAAGAGATGTGGTAAGACTTATGACTGTTCAAATATTTATCAAATAAATGATGCTTAGTTCAGAATCCATGCTTGAAAGAAAACTAGAAGCTACACATCTAGATAATATACAAGTAGTTTCAAAATTATTTACAGTAATAGAAATGCAGATAAATTAAAACTCCTAAAAAATGCCAAGAATCCCTGAGATCAAAAGTCTAGGAATTACTAACATGACACAACGGTTAATAGTTTAGTTCAAATAAACAACTCCATGAAGCAACATGCTAGAAGAAATATGCCAGTGCAGTCAGCTATAAGCGAGCAAACTAGATATGAACTAATCTAGAGTGGTGAACATTCACTCTGGTTCTCTACTTCCCACATGACACTGACTTCTAATAGAAAATTCTCCTCTCTCCTTTCACTCAGACTGTAAAACTGCTGATGTCCAACTATGTGGAAGTAAACTGCAAAAGTTGGCTTGAAATTACCATGAATTCTTTATGATATCCTATGTGCACCTGTTCCAAGAATTATAAAAATCATAAACAGAGAATAATTCTATATTGTATTCTCTCCAGCTTTGAACACCCTTGTAATTGCTTATAATTGAAAAAAAAAATTTTATCAAGCACCACAAAGTTGCAAAGCCAAAAAATGAGACATATTCCTTTATCCTCCTCTGTTCAGAACAGATCTGAAACAAATTAGTATCAAGAGCTATGAGAACAGGAAACTATCAAAATAACTAGAGGAACATTTAAATCATGTTTCTCCAACACACTCCAGAAATGACAGGGAAAGAGCCTAGAACAGCAAGACAGACTGGGAGGCATACCCTCATTGGCTTTCCCTTTTGACAAAGTCAGTGTAACACTTCCACTATCTAAATCCAGGCAAGATTGCAGCAGGAAGAAAGGTAGAAGCCTCAGGAACAAAACAACTGGAACCACTTTTTTCATCTTAGTCAAGAGGCGTTTGGATGATACTCTCAGGCACCTGGTGTGACTCTTGGGGATGGTCCTGTGCAGGGCCAGAAGTCAGACTTGATGATCCTTGTGGGTCCCTTCCAACTCAGCATACTCTGTAATTCACCCCCCAAATCTCACAAGATAACAAATCAAAGCTTCAGAAGGCTCCCTCAATAAGCCCAAGCTTTCAACAAGATCCTGGGGGCAAAATTTCTTTCCAGCAAACGGAAAGCAATCTAACATTGTCTTGACTACTTTGATTAAGTAATACAAATTCATTTTTTTCACCTTTCCCTATTTATCCTAAATATTTTTCCCTTACCTCTCCTTTTGCATTTTCTTCTCTGGACAGTCTGCTATACAAGTCATTCTAATTACTCACTTTACCCTTTCTTTCTTTGTTCCTGACTTTTCTTTCCCCTACACTTTAGCCCTGGTTTGCCCTTACCCTATTCTTTGCTTCTCCTCAGTGCCTATTCTCACACTAATTCTGTTCATCTCAGCTAAAATAGTATCACATTATGTTGTTTCCTTCCTCCACTCACATTTTCTCTTACAGGAATTTCTCCTTTCCCTACTTCCTACCTACTCAGGTAGATACATGAAAGATCACATTGGCTGACACTCCTTGGACTGCCTCTGCCCACTAGAAAACATTAAAGCAAATTACTCTGCTTGTGTCAACCATTCACTCCAAAACCTCAGAAGAAGGAATTCAGTCACAGCCATTACTCAGTAAATGATTTTGAGAACAATTTAAGACTCAGATCCACACAAACTATAGAAAGTATTGGAGAGGAGTAACGAAAAGGAGGATCCTTTTGGAAAGAGAAAAAAAAAAGTGTGTCTGTTTTCCAAATCTAGCAATGAAGTCACAGGATTTAACCTATAAATATAGAAAACAATAAAAAGCGAATAAGCAAATAATAAAAAGCATAAAAGCTTTTAAAAGCAAGTCACTAGCTGGAACCAATATTTACAAGGTCTTAACACTAGATGAAGGAAAGATTTAGAGGGCAAGCGAGTGTGAGGTTGGAACAATAATCACTTCAATGGGTTAACAATATTATTCCTCCCCTATCTACTTTTCTTCCCAGGCTATGACATGTCCTGGGAATACAGAGACACTTGGTTCTCCAGGGCATTATCCCCTAACATACTGCCAAGTTAACAAGTATTTGCTTAAAACCAAAATAACCCCAAACAAAACAAACTCTCACACACAACCAAATCCCTGTAATAAATAACTGATATCAATACTTCCAAAACTCTGAGCAATTTACGCTGTCTTTAGACTAGGCTAAAAGTCTAACTGGCCAGGTTAAGAAATTATTACATCATTTTTAAGCAATCAACAAAACCAGCGTTTTTTCCTCCATCTTGCTGGATTTTTTGAAGTTGTCTCTTATCAAAGTCTACTCAGTGATCAGCCCTTATGCTGATCTGATCAGATCTTTCCCTCTTTTCTACACTAGCACTTATTATTACTACTACCGCTAATAATAATAATGAGTTATGCTGAAGTCCAAAACCTCTTTCTGATGTTATGGCACCTGCTAAGTCATCGCCTATACTTATGTTTGGCAACAGGCTATCTGAAGTGGTATATTTATTATGTGAAACATTGTATCTATTTGTACCTTTTATCATTTGCTCCTCACATCTCAGGCACATTAGACACTGGTGTACCATACGAAGATGCATTAGACTCCTTTAAGGTATCCAAACTTTTCATTAATATTCAAAGTTGAACACGTGTAGGTTTTACTATGATTGTAAATATTTTTTTGCGCAATAATACCTTGAGCACTTTTTGCTGCTCTTCTGTAACAGCTTCAAGTGGAGTCTGCTCAGAACTGGCAACATGCACCTTATTACAAACAGTGACACAACCACGAGTAAGAGAATCCACTCCTCAGCAGCAACTCCTAAGACTTGCTGAATCACAGTCAAGAACTTAAAAGCATCTCTCAACTGAACAGTTAACCATGGTAGGTAAAAACAAGTTAGTCATTTATCTTATGTGACACTGTTTCCATCTTGTCATAATTTACAAAGCTACTAGAAAGTAAATCTGTTGATCTAGGACTACCCAAAAGTCAACATGATATAGTCTTGGTAAATATCTAAAGTATTAAACAATGCCAGTTGTAAGGACAGCTAACTACTAGAAGAAAGTTTGAAAGTGTTAAGATAAAGTGATAATGTGTTAGATATAAACTCAGATTGCTCATTACAGGGTGCTGGAACGACTGAATTTCAGAAACATTTTAGTCAAAGGCTACACTTTAAACTCCTAAATTTTTTATTTACTTTGGAGTATGACAAGTTTAGGATTTTCTGATTCCATTTCCAAAACAAAAGGCAACCGTTTGCTTAACAAAACATCATAGCTCTAAGTTATACAAAGTGCACACTGCATTATTCTGAAAACCCACTTTCAAACAAACTTTGATTTCCTATTTGGAAATTATTATTCAGCTATTTTTAATGTATATATATACAGGTCATTTTTATTTATATGCATATTTGACACTGGGATACATAAGACAGTTTTAATACTTCCTTACAACGTTAACATAATTATTAACACATCAAAACGTTAACATATTTGTACCTAGGAAAAAATACTAATACAGCTTACAAGTACAATGTATCTTCACATTAAAGGGATAAGAATAAATATAATCTTGGACCTAGCAGAGCTCCAACTGATAACTTACAAATTAAGATGACTGGATAAGATAGCAGTCATCTAAAAGACTGCTTATCCTAGCAAGAACATTACAGCATCTAGACTTAAAATTTTATAGTTTGAGATTTGAAAGTTTTAGGCATAAAATACAGAATTTAGTAAACAGCAATTTCAATGCCAAGCAAGCAAAAAAAAAAAAAAAGACCAAACCAAGCTTCTCTTCTACATAATGTGTCAATGGGGAGCATACATTGAGAGATTTATTCCCCCAGCAATTAAAGAAAAGTAGAAAAAGAGCCTAAATCAGACCACATACCCTAATGGGTCTTAGTCCCTTTGCTATCCTTTTTCTACATGCAAGATTACTAGTTCAGTCCAGAAGAACCTACTGTAAGACTAAGCTACATAATTTTCATTTTAAGAATGAAACTCTGTGAGAATGGCCTATTACACCACTTTAGGGACACTCTAGGACATTCTGAGGACTAAAAGAGGTTCTTTAGTACTGTTTCCACTGCACTTGTTTACTGAAATCTTTCAGTAACTTTTAACAAATGTAGTGGGGGTTTCACCCCATACATGCATCAGCTTCTTTGATTTGTAAAGTCATTAACACTGCCTCCACTAAGCAAAACATCAACTATTTACTTTAAAGGTCATTTTTAATCAGCATATCCAACTAATACCATTTGACAGAAATGCATTATGAAAAGTTATTTTGGCAGTAACTAAACCATCATGACAGGATTCCTACCGTAGCAGTCTATGAGAGACCGGGTGACTGTGAACTGCACTAACTGCGGTTACACTACTTTTTCAATTGTTTAAAAGCTATTATTTATGTAGTCTGACCAAAAAAAAAAAAAAGACAAATCACCAGGTTTAGCTGTTTCAACATGATTAACCTTCCAATCAAAAAAATTAACAGTGTATTTTGCATTTCTGAGGGAGGGCGTCTGTCTGTTTTGGTATTCAGAAAATTAACACATGATGAGAGTGTATGGTAACATTACTTTAGCAAAGCTGGTGAGTAATTTAAAAAATGTACATTGTCGCAGAGATTAACATAATAATTTCAACTTGTGACTGAAGTCCAGTAAGTTTTATGTTTGTATTCCCCACATTGTGAGTTAATCTCACAAGATACTTTGATTTATGCTTTCCAGATCTTTGTTGTTAAAAGGAAAATGCAGCAGCTGTATTCAGACAGCAGGTAAAGATTCTGAAACCAGATGAAACAAAGATTCACACAGAGAATTTCGACTATTTATCTGTAGTCAGTTATTTAGTAGTGTATCTAATACTGAACTCACCAGCTATGCAAGGAAAAGCAGACCTCCGATCTCTGTGAATGAGTTTGATGGCCTCTTAAAATTTGTGATGACAAAAATAGTTTTACTGATCTTGAATTCATTTTTAAACTTAAATAAAATTAATCTAAATCTAAAATTAATCTAGATCTTTGAGAGTTTAAAGGCATTTACACTTGTTTACTTGCACTGACAGCAAGGTTAACTTAGCCATACAAAGTTCTTTACCATGCTAAGTTAAAAAAAACGACTATCCTACCAATGGTGTGACTACTAAAGCTCACCTTCCAGTCTCCTAAAAGCAAGATTTTCGGATTTCACACAGAACAAATCAAAAACTTAAAAATTAAATAGTTTACAGCGTTAAAGTAAGGTATTTTACTCACTATATAGCTGAGTATTTCCACATGGTTAGAAAAGCAAATGGGAAACGCATAGCATTCTTTTCTTTTACAGAGAGACAGCAGAAGTGGTAAAATAATAAAGGTAGTATTTCCTATGCAACTGCCTAGAGCAACTTGTACGCAAGTATTTAAACCGTAGGAAAACCTGCTGCTAGAAGGCAGCATTTTTTTTAACTCATTAATGTGTTTCCAAAAAACAAAAAAGTTTACAACAGGGGGATACTACCAGCAGTAAGGCACGGAGTCACTTATTGACACAAGAGACTAAAAAGTGCATCTTTCAAACATAGCTTTGTTCTGTTTCAACTGCCCTAAAGAGGAAGAAAAGTAGCAGAAGCCGACCGAAGGGTCAAACCAAGACCTCCCGGGGAGCCGCTGCCAAACGTCGCGTCCCGGCAGGCGCTGCCCTTTACCTTTCGGAGAATTCCGGCGAGGAAGGCGGTGTTGAAGTGTGAACAAAGGAAGAAACTCACCCCAAGGTACTTCTCGCTCGCCGCGAACCGCCCCTGCCGGCTCACCCGGGTATGAAGTTTGCAATGGCCCATCAGACGCTTTCGCAGACACTTTGCCTCAGGGGAAAGCACCGTTTTCCTCTGCCCAACTTAAGCGCAACCTGTCCGCTACACTCCTGCTGGCTCTCAGAGGAGCGTGGCCCCGCTCCAGCCCGGCCGGCCGCCGCCAGCCGCGGGGGGGCAACGAGGCGGCGGGGCCCACGACCCCCGGCGGCCACCCCGGCCCGGCGGGGACAGGGGGAGGGGGCCGGCGCCGCTCCGCAGCCGCCTCCCGCCGGCTCCGCAGCACGGGGCGGCCGCTCGCACAGCACCTCCGGGAGGCCCCGCTGCCGTCCCGCCCTCGCCTCTGAGCCGCAACTTCCCGAGGGGTCCGTGCCGCCCGGTCGGCCCCTCTCCGCGCCAGCGCTGCCCGCCCGCCCGTCCTCCCCTACGGCCAAAACTTCTCCCAACTTTCCCAGCGTCTCACCTCTCGCCGGCTCGCTGCCTGCGGGGCGGGGAGGCGGACCGGGGCCAGCCCCGCACGGTGCCCGCCGCGCCACTCCCCCCTTCCTTCGCCGGCCACCAGCGCCCCTCGCCGGTGCCTCCCCGCCCCCAGCGGGCCGCGGCGCCCCCCGCCGCCAGATTCCTCCGCGGCGCTGGACGGCCGCCCCTCCGGAACTCGTTTCTGCGGCGCTGCGCGACAGCAGCCTCTGCACCCCGGCCCGACCCCGCCGTGGACGGACCAAACGCGAAGGAGAGCGGGGGAAGGGCGAACCACAGCCCAGGCTGTTCCTCCTGGTGGCCCGGGGTTGGGGGGAACCCCTAAACCTCAGCCGCGCTCGCCCCGCTTCAGCCCGACGGGGCGGCAGGGAGGCGGGTGCCGGTCCAGGGACGCGGGCGGCTTCGTGTGGGGCGAAATCTTCCCCCAGAGAGGCTACTCAGAAACTTCGGAAAGCTGCTGTCGGGGATGTCTTACGGGGATGGCGAGGGAGGCCGTCAGAGCCCGCGGGAACACGCTGTCCTCTGCCGTCCGAGGAGCACCGAGTGCCCGGGACAGTCCCGCACCGATGGCAGCAAGGAGCGCCCAGCAGCGACCGCAGCGCCTCGGCGGCCGCTCCCCTTCCCTCAAGCAGCCGGGCTCCCGGGCCGCGCCGGGGGGATTGGACTCACGCCTCACCGCCTCGGACCCTGGGGCCGGGCTGGGCGAGCCGCCGCTAAACGGCTGGGCGGAGGGAAGGAGGTCTCTCAACAGAAGCCAAAAGCGAGTGCGACACCCCGGCACCGCTGTAGGGAGCGGCGCCCTGCTCCGGCGTCGGGAAAAACAGCGGCGAGGAGAGCGAGTGCGGGGCCAGTACAGCTGGGGGAGCGCGGGCGCGACCGCTCCCCGGCCCGCGGAGGGTGTACGGGCTACCTCGGGCGGAAAAGCGCCCTGCCGGAGTCATGCTGAAGGGATGTCTGTCAACCTGCCAGCCCCGTGTTAAAGATTAATACCGAAACAGTCCTTGAAGGATTCCCCGCTCATTAATAAGTGATCACACTTAATAATGATCAAACGTTTGCCTGGGAAATCCCGTCCCAACGGGCTCACGGCGAAGTCGGGTTGCAGACGGGTGGCGCCGGCGGGGGCGCATTTACCGCGCATTAGCCCCGCCACGTCTTTTACTAGCCACATAAATAAATACAACCAGCGGCGCAAGGGGCCCTTCTGCAGCCACAGCCTCACTCTCCCGGGGCTGTAGGTCAGAGGGAACCGACCCCATCGGAAAGCGCGGGTTCTCAGGGTCACTAGCCCGCAACCGTAGCGCCCGCGCTCCCTCCCAGGGCGGCCGCAGCAGCCCCCGGCTACCGGGCACCGGCTGCCCCGCGGCGGCGGCAGCGCAGTTCTGCGACGGGCGGGCAGGGGGCGCCGCGTCACAGCGCACGGGCGGTCGGGCACGGCGCGGCTTCCAGTCCCGGATCCCAGACGCGGCAGCCAGCTCCGGCTCCCCCGAACGGAGCAGAGCAGAGCCGAGCCCCTAGCCCCGCGGCGATGAGCCCTGTTCCGGCTGCAGGGCTTCGGGTCCGGAAACCTGAGCCTCGCTCTCCCCGTGAAGGGCGGTATAGCTGGGAGTGCTCTCAGCTCCAGGTACGCGTAGCTTTGAATACAGTCGGTATGTGGGTATATATACATATTGATATATACATAAACATACACACTCTACACAGTTACGAACTACAGGTTGAATCGAAGAACACGGCTGTTTTCCGTAACGCAACGAACTAGAGCACCAGAACTCTCACGGGAATCATCCCTCTCAGCACCCTGCTGATAATAAACTCATTAAACAAAGAACTCACCAGACCAGCTGGACTCGGCACTCTTCTCACAAAGTCTGCTCCAGCTCAGTTCATCTCTGCACGCTTCCTCCTCCCCTTTCCTTTTTGTCCTTTGGAGACGGCGCGAGCCCCCGATGCCCACACGCCTCTAGAACGTGAGCCCCGCGGCGGCCCTGGCGCTCAGAGCGGCCCCGGCGCGCAGCCAGCGCGGCGCCCGGCCCCACCGCCACAGCGCGGCATGTCGGCTCCGACCCATCCGCCGCTCCAAACTTCAACAAGGCTGGGAAGGAAAAATAAACGGGGAGAGGGAGAAGAAGAAGAAAAATAAAAATAAAATAAAATAAAATAAAAGGGGGGAAGAAACAAAGAAGGCGAAAGGGAGGGAGAGATCCAACTTTCTTAAGACATGTCCAGGCAAAGAACGGGCAGAGTTGAGGAGTTGCAGCAGCGGAGAGAGAGTGGGGACGCTGCGCCGGATCGCCGATTCCTTCCCTCCCTCTTTCCTTCCCCCGCCTCCCTCCCTCCTTCTCTCTTTCCCTCCCTCCCCCTCTCTCTCTCCGTCTTCTCTCGCACTCTGTCTGTCCCCCTAGGACCCTGCTCGCAGCAGCACCACCTCCTCCCTCCCTTGGCCGCTGCAGTCGAGCGCGGCGGCAAGAGCAGCACGCACCTCTCCGCGCCGCCACGGCTTTGCCGCGCACAGGGGCCACGGCCCGCAGGCGAGGAGAGGAGCCCGGCACAGCCCCGCCGCCCCGGCCCGGCTCCGCGCCGAGCCGACTCTCCCCTGCCGCCGGCGCTTGGAGGCCCCGCTGGCTCCGCCGCCGCAAGGCCGCTCGGCTCGGCGGGACGGCGCTTTCCCGCCGCCCGCACGGCTGCGGGCGCCCCGCAGCAGCGCCTCTCGGCTCCTGGGCGGCAGGGCACAACCGCTGGGAGAACCGGGTGGCTTCAAGGGGACTGAGCACGGGAATCTTCCACTCTCTCCGGCCACGTTAAGACTAGAATAGTTTTCCCTTCCTCTCCTCTCCTCTCCTCTCCTCTACTCTCCTCTCCTTTTGTGTTCTTTTCACTTTTTCTCTTTCCTTTTTTTTTTTTTATGTTTTATTTTTCTTTTTTTCCTTTTTTTCTTCTTTTCCTTCATTTTCTTCTTCCTCTTATTCTTCTTTTTCCTTGCTTTCTTCTTTTCTTCGGGGGAGGTGTATTTTTCAGAGCACAGCCAAAAAAAAAAACCAAAAAACCCACCCAACAAAAATGGCAGTTCCTTCTCAAAAATAGTAAACCATAACCAACCAAGACATACTTATAATGTGGTTCTCCCTCATTCAAAGTAAGCCCCAACCAATCATTCCTGCTTAACAAAGTCCAGGAGATGTGGCACTGCTAAGTGGCTGGGATCAGCTGAAAGCAGGGGCCTGAGTAGGTCCTGAATGGTGAGGTTTATACAATTTTGGGAAAACTACAGAAAAAAGTTATTTGCCTGAGAGAGATAGTGTAACAGTAAATTTTTAAAGCACTCACAGATTCTCAGAAGGTAAAATATTCTTTTACTAAACAATTTATCTCTAAGGAAGTTAAAGTCATGGCCTTCCTCCAAAAGTCAAATTGACTTCTGAAGACATTGGATCATTATTTCCTGTAAGATACACCACTATAATCTATCAGCCAAATGAGCATGCAGCATTCTATGTTAGGAAGAGCAGATAAAACATTTCAGTATATAAATCCTAAGTACATTTCCAAATAGTGCATACAGGCCATTTCAGCCTGGGAATGTTCACTTTGAACAAACCTGTCTGGAAAGTTTAATGTCAGAATTCTCTGGCCTTATAGATTTCCACAACAGACACAGCTGATTGATTTAGTTAGCATCTCATCTTCTTTCTGAACCCCAAATGGAATTATGCTGAGTCCTTATCCAAGTGCCACTGGGCCAAATAAACTCTCCTTCTGTGAAAACTGCTTTAAAGTGAGCTGCATAAAGTAAACTGCATTAAAAACAGCATTCCTGGATAGGGCTAAAAGGGGAACACTTTAAGGGCATTATAGTTAAGGGCTAGAAACAAACTACACTTCTGCTCTGTACAGTTGCAAATATTTCATATTTTTGAAGTACGAAATTTCCTACCTTTCAGATTCATGACCATATTGTGGTTGATTGCTGGGTTTAGTAACAAAAGGTAAGGGCAGCAGGTTGCTTAAACTTTCATTTAAACTTTAATTTTTAATGCCTGGAGAAATGTAGTGCTAGTTAATTGCAATAACCTCTTGTAAGTTGGACAGGAGCATCTCTCAAAAGTATCTGGTAAAGATAACAAAAATAGAGGCTTGTAATTTGGATCTCCTGCTATACCCATGCTATGCTGACAGTAAGTACTTTAGATGAAGAATAAAGGGATATGCCGTCACTCTCGAACAGTGGGTAATGGTGATTAGCACTTCAGATAAAGTGTTGGAGCCAAAAGTTCCAGCCAAGTGTATTCATAAGTCTTCTCAATATGTATAGGTTTACTTTCTAAAAGAGGTTTCTAACATCACAAATAATATTGACAGAGTCATTCTGATAGTAACTGAATATTCCATTTTTATTGTGTTTTCTCTGACCTTTAATTTTTTTTCTTCTAAATAGTGTCAATAAAGCTGTTATAATCATTGTTTACTTTCACATTTAAAGATTAAAGGGTATTTTTTGATATGTTATCCTAAAGAAAATTCATATATTCTGTTACATTTTGCTAAGATATTGGAAAGGTACAAAGGAGAATACTTGTAATCACACTTGAGTGTCTAGGGCACCATCCACACCTCTGAAAATCTTCCAGTCTTATAACTATTGTAGCAAAATATGTTTGGTTCTCCCCATCATCTATTAAGAGATCTCTGTCCTTATCGAACTACCTAAGATGAAGCAAGTTTTAGCCCAGCTGTCAATAACAAACAAACAAAAAAAGTTATCTGGATTAGACAGTTTTCTTTTAAGAGAAGCATGGGTCCTTCAACTTTGGAATTATTTCCCAGAAATTGAAATGGAAATTATATTTCCACATAATCATTGTGGCATTATGGCGCTAACACTCTTCTCACTAATCTACCTCCAAAGCTAGCATCATAGATTTCAATACTTGTTTGCTATATATTTAACAAACCGGAGCTGATAGTTAACTGGTTAAGATCGGAAGTAAATACCAAAGTCAAGTGTCCTCCAGAGAAATTTTCCTGCTCCCAGCCCTAGGTATGCACTTGGGGAATGATATCTCAAGTACTTTGGACAGATTTCTCATCTCCCATTTAGTAAAAGAAAGGGTAATTTCGAATTGTTGTGACTTAGCTGCATAAAACTTTAAAGATCAAACCCAGCCTTTTGAATTGCACTGGCTCAGAAATGGCAAAGGCGAGGATAATTATGGCTTGGTGCCTATGAGGGTAAACCGGTTGCAATTGCTACACCAAGTGCAGCTCCATAAAAAGCACTTTTGAACACAATAGCAGCCTGTGACTCGGGCAATCAAGGGCCCATAAACATTGAGCCTCCGTGGCAGAGGGCAAATACATCTTCTCAGTAATGGGGTCAGACACAATTTCAAGAGAGTTCTCCATCAGTTAAATATGAACTGATCTGACATTGATTTTACAGTAAGAAATAAATTCTCTACAGTACAAAAAGCTAGCACAAAACCTGTACTCTATTTGAATCATATTTACACAGAGAAAAGGAGGCTGCTTAGTAGCAGCTCTGCTCTGGATGTCCTCCTTTTCTTCATCTGGTCTTAGGAAGAACTCCTCAGCACTTCAATTACTTGTAGCCTTTGGAAGGAAAAACAAAACAGTGCAACTCCCCAAAACTTGGTAATCATCCTGTCCCTGCCCTGCAGTCAGGCGTGTATATTCCTTTAGCACTCTAGTTGGTTTCCTGTCTGGTAAATGCAGATCTGGGCAGTAAAAAACAATTCTGCTTTTCTGGCTGTTCTTGCCTACTCTCTACAAACTTGGATTGAACCACAAATGCCCACTCCCCTCCCCTCACCCCTACCTTCCCTCCTCTGCCCTTTACAGGGGTAAAAGGGGGCAAATTCTGTGAAATACACATTTAAGAGGGTGCTGACATCTTCTTACCTAAACGAAACTTTTGTAAAATCCCTGAAAATCTTTAGGATTACCTTTGCTTACATGTCTTTATCTGACAGAATTTGAGCAAGGATATTTAACTTTTCATGTTTCAATTATTTTTATTCAATTTCTTTTACCCTAGAGAGTTATTACTGCGTAAAATATCACTGACTATTTGATTAGGTATTCTTTCACAGTGGTTTTCAAGACTTCCAATGCAGCAATGTCAAAATAATAGTCATATATCAGCTTCCTTATAATGAAATGCTAAACAATCTCAGCTATTTGACAATCTATTCTGTGCCCTGTGAACCTAAAGAGGAGTTTACTGAGGCAACTGAATCATTAAACCTACGAGCTACAGCTATTTGTGGATATGTGTTAAATACACACGTATGCAATAGTTAAGAAAACCTAGAGCAATGCTAGAGAGAAAAAAATTAAAACTTACTGAAAAGATTATGTTTCTAGGTACTAGTTCCTCAGGAGTGAGGAACACTAGTGGAGTGAGGACATCCAAATACTTGAGCAGTTATTGTCTGAGCCTTTCAATTGTTAGAGACAGCTGATTTGGAGAAGAGTGATTTTTAAATTTTTTTTTTTGAACAGCAGGGAGGAGAAATACATTCTCTAAACAGGAGTGAGCTAGGCAGCCTCATATTTTCAACATTTTGATCTTACAGATTACCTCTGTGTACATCAACTTTTGAGAAACATTTTAACATCACTTCAGAAACAAGAAACTTTTCCACATCACACTTTTCTTTGCCAATCTATCTTCATAAATAATTAAAAAAATCACTTAAGGTAAGTTTGCTTTTATGACATTTATCCTACTCTGCTATACTGGCAACTGGAACAGAAACAGAACTGTTGTGGACAGTGTGGGAAATAAATAAGGCGGTTTTATTACAAGCAGGGATTTCCATGGTTACCTCGTGTTGAGATACCTGGAGGTCATTTTGTTTGGAGAGATTGAAGAGCCATTTTGTGGTCAGGAGCTGGTGGGTTGCTTGTTGTTCTGTTCACTGTTTTGCTTACTGTACTTGTTATTACCTACTGCTGCTTACTGTTTTGCTTACTGTTCTTGTTGTTCTTACTGTTTTG